ACATAAATTTGACTAACCAAATTTTCTACAGCTGTCACAGAAATAACCACAGAATGGAATGATAAAACATGATTTTTATCTTACCAAATAAAACTTAAAAAACAAATAAAGTTATTAAAACTAATTCTATCTTTCAGATTCAAATGCAGATTAAAACTAGTATTATTATGGAACCCGTAAAACATAGTAACATTAAAAGTTCGAGATGGTAACAAAACTTAAATACTCCTTAACTTTCAATTCTAAACTTTATACCCCAATAAATAAAAAAATATAAAGACATCAAACATATAAAAAAAAAATTAATTTAAATAAGTACATTATTTTCTTCAATAAGTACCATACATGATTTTACAATAAAAATTGTATAAACATCAATATCATTTCAATATAATATAAATATAAAAAATTTAAGAATAGAATTACATTGCAGATGAGAGAATCATTCTATTGCACAAAATATATTCCATCATCTATTATACATGAACTGATCTTTCAGATTTTATAAACATAAGACGTAATGGGACTAGTAAATATTGATCGTATCACTTATGAGTACTAGAAACAAGAAAAAATTAGCAAGATGTCCCTCATCGTTTAATAAACAGTAAAAAGCAAAATTCATAATGAAAAATGCAATCACAGATATACTAAAATCAGATTAAGAGCTTTCAAGCGATTTATATAGTAAAAATATTTTTTTAAACACAAATATACATTTATTTAAATAAAATAGTTTTTGGACAAACAGAAGTGGTAACTAAAAATAAATTACAAATAATCTCTCAATAAATAACTACAGAGCGAATAAAATTGAAATAAAACAAGACTATATCCTATAGATGGTAAAGATTGGTAACAAAACTCTATTTGTACGTAAAATATTTTCACTCGTAATTCTCCTTGAATCCAATATATATTTTTTTTTTTTCAGGTGTGCTGAACAATCAATAGCATATTTCTAATGACTGAAAAAATTATTAATAGTGGATATCTTGTTGAACATAAAAATAATAATGGAGCCGATGATTGGAGGGAGGGTGAAGAAAGTATCATTAAGAGTAAGTATAGCACTGCTTGCAATGAGTCCAAATGTTTCAAATTAAATTGCAGGATATTTTTATATAATTTTATTATATTTTTATGAAAATATTAATAATTATTAAAAAAAGACGTTTACATTTATTTTTTTCTTGTTTTTAGAAATAAATGAAAACGAAGTTATAGAACAACCTGAAAGCAATAAGCATCACTTTGAAAATCAGTAATACACCAAAAAGTAAAATTTATCCAAGATGTGATAAAACCTCCTTTGTTATGAAGCAATTCTATTATAAATAGAAACTATTTTGTTTCATCAATCCAATTATTACTCTTTCAAATAGAATTAAAATTGCTCATAAGTTTTATAAAAATATTTTTGTTTTACTTCTATGTAACTGAAATATTTAATAATCATTTAAAGAACCAAAGGGAAAGAAAATATATTACTCATCTAAGCTCCTAGACGAAACAATCAAATTGCAATACAACAAAAATTATCCACTATCAAAATTACTACCCCATACTTTTAATACAATTTCTTGGATTTAATCATTTCATAATTGGCAACTGATAGTTTTGATTTAGTATTCAATTGCTTCTTTTTTTCGACTAGTTAAAAAGTGCATGCAAGTATATGTTCACAAAGAAATCTTACTCTTACAATATATATGAAATTAAAAAGAGTTACATATCAATTCAAACCCAAATGTTAAATATTAAAAAAATAATTGTATCATTAATTTTTGAAAAGTCATGTCATTTACCATAGTTTTAAAAAAACTATACAAATATTGTAATTCCAAAATATTTCTTTTTTTATTTCATCCTCCACTCTTTGCTGAAATGAGCTCAAATATATTGGGCTTATAACTTTTTTAGAAGAAATGATTCAATTGTTTCTAAAAGATTTGCTTATTACATAAACTGCACCTTTATGCATTTATTATAAAATTTATGCATTCATTATAAAATCTAGACACTTATATATTTATTTATTGTTCTATCGAGTATATATAGTTACTATAAAATATCATTATAAATAATGGACTGATCAGATATTATTTCTGACATTAAGAAATAAATATCACATAAATGGCCAAATATTGGCAACAATTTTTGTGCAATTTACAAAATAAAACAAACACATTTCATGAATTATTTACAATAAATTTATATATATATATATATATATATCCAACTATTTATAAGCTTTGAATAGAAACATGTTAACTATAAAATTGCTTTTCTTATGTCACAAAAATTATTAATGACTACACAAAATCATTTTTATCATATAAGGATAAAGAAATTAGTAATGGGTTAAAAGAATTGGAACTTGTAGGTTATCTAACTAGTATCATTTACAGAATGAATTAAGATCCTATAATCGATCATTGATTCTTTAGAGCACATAACCTTCATATAACTCGTCAAAACCTAAAGATAGCCCAGATGGCTTGGCCAAAATTTGATGATGGCTTGGTTGACTAAAATAATAAGAATTAAAACTTTTTATTTTATTCCTTTTTTTTATGATTCACCTTAAGTAATTCCCAATGGAGAAAATTATTATGCAAGTGATGATTTTCACTCGTAGCTTATATTTACTAATCTTAATGGTTATATAGATTGAAAAAGGTATAGTAAAAATGTTGATAATTTAAGGAAATGATAATTAAGTAATTTATAATAATGATGAACCACTTTGCAATCTCAGGTATGTTTAATTATTTTTTTAATATCCTAGGCAAAACCTTCAGCATGCAACTGTTACTAGTTGTAATCACGTATGTAATGAGAGATTATAAATTGTTACAATAATATTTAATCTCATGTAGTTACGGCAAAATATTTATTATGGCTTCAAGTGTACATAACAGACTTTGATATTATAATAAAAAAGATCCACAGATCACTGATTGAAGGAATAAACATATCAAAGTTGCTGGGTTAAACCAATTTAAAAAATATCAACCATATATCGCTCACGCCTTTCAACATCATACCTTGAAAACTGCAGACAGCAGACATACAAAATTATTTTTTATTTGATTTTCGGGTTCTACGTATCATGAAACGTAAAACCTCAAATTTCGAGTGGGTTAACTCTTTGAATTGAAAATAATAATAAACCAAAAATTGTTGTTTAGTAGACATGCCTATTTTCAGAAATGCCTAAAAGATTAATATATTTCATAAATCATTTTTTTAACTCAGTATTTAGTTGCTTAAAGCCATAGATACCATTTTTGCATTATAAAAAGATTCTAATACTAATTATAAAATTTTTCTTCTTAAAACAGAGATAAAACATCTGCAGCATAATAAATACAAATTGTATCATTGGATTGATATTAATTTTCATTGAACTGAATTCTACTTTTAAGCTTTGAAAATCTCTTATCCGCTATTTATTTATTGGGGAAGTACTATAATAGTACTATATAGTGAACGCAGATTAAAAATCTCTATCGCTGAAAAACATGTTTTTTGAATGTGACATTGTTGGAAGTTGTGAGAGATATATGGCACACTACAAAACATTGATACTAATTCTAAATTGCTTTATCCTTCATGTTGATCAAATAGAGTATAAATCTATAGATATATAGAGATTATTATTTAAAGTTATAATGCAAACTTATTAATAAAGCTCTTTTAGTTTCTAAGAAACAAAAGTTCTAATTTACATATGGCTTTTGATGAATAAGAATGTTACGTTTTCGATTTGTAATTGAACTTACTAATTAGATTAATTAGATTAATAAACAATAATAATTACCAATGATCATCAAAAAGAATTACAGCACAAGCTAGTTCTATTATGAGAAGCACGGCAAAAGAATATGTACAATTATATGCTTCAAATTTAAAAAAAAAAAAATGTACTAATACTTTTTCATTCTATTAAAAATAGAAACAATTTATACCAGAATAAAAAAATACAAAAAAAAATGGCTACCTGCGTATAAAATATAAATGCAACATAAACATAAGAAAATTTAATCGATGGTAGATAACATATATAATGGTACTAAGATAGGATAATTTGGAATTGGCGTGTTTTTTTAATAAGTGTCTAACTGTTTCGTTAAATCCTAACACTGAAGTAGTATGAGCTGCCCTTAATAGAGTACGAATTCTAAATATTGATGTATGAAAAATTGGTGAGGAAGGTTACACAAAGGTGAAATGTAAGGGAGTTGTAAAGAAATTAGTACCAACTTTCATTCAATTAAGTTGGATCTTTCAATTTCTGCTATACAGAAGTATCAGAATTGTGAATCTGTCACCAGCTATGTTTTTTTTTTAAAATTTAATTTAAGATCTTCAGAGGCTGTTCATCAAAATACAAAGTCATTTATAGTTCTCCTGGATTTTTTTTGTTTCTAAGCATTAACCTTCAGTTGTCCTGACAAATCATGAGAGTATGGTTAAGTAAATATTTCTGTTTTGTGGTGTATGTTCTGTGCACTCCACCCCACCATTATGTTTTACCAATGCAACTTTGGACTAGTGCATTGAAATAGAAGTGTTTTTAACAAAACATTTATTGAATTCTGTGCCACATCCCACTTTCATGACTTTCAATTAAGATTGCAAAATGCGAAGTTCAGACAAGCTTTAAGTTTTTTCGATAATTACATTCGTAAAATAAAGCTCAGGAAACAAACTAATTTTCAGGTTCTCCATAGACACTTCAAACAAACCTAGCTCCTAAAGGATTTCTTGTTTTAGAATGAAAATGAAAGAAACCTGTAAGCACAAGCATTAATCCAAGATTTTAAATTTATTGGATAGAGTTGCTATAATGTGCTTTTTAAAAATGTTTCAAAAAGATGTTTTGATATGAAAAATAAATTTACATTAATATTCACATTTCATACATTTAAGCTATAAAAAAATTAAAATAAATAAAAATCGCAATATTTAAAAACTATTTAAAGCGAACTTACTCCATTTTAATTTTATTACGACTTATACATTGCTAAAAATGGCTGATATATATTTTAAAAAATCTTAAAATTCATCATGAAAACTTCGAGCTGTATCTATCATTTTACTTCCAAGGAACAGATCCATTTTGGCAAGTACTTCTTGTAAAGACAATTTTCCATCATGGTCAGTATCAGCTAAAGTGACAAGAGTCTCGGATTCTTCTCTTGCATGGCGAGGATTACGAGGATCAATGTAATTCTACGACAAAGAAAAAATATGTTTAAGAGTAAATAAATCATGAATGTTGCTAAAAATGTTTCATCATCCCATTACATCATCTTCCTATATATTTCGAATTTAGGTAAGAGAGAGTAAAAATTAAGGTTCATAAACATGTATCAAGTGGAAAGTAATGGCATTACACATACAATTATGATCCAATTGATACAGGTTCCTTTGCTGCTCGTATTTTTAAAGCTTTCAATAATCCTCATATTTATATTTTTATTTCAAAAAAACAAAAAAATAACTTGACTATATAAAAAAATAGGTTAATTATTAGCCAAAGATATGTTTTTACTTACAAGAAGTTCATGGCGATCAGCCAAAGAATTATTGTCAGTATCAATAACATTTCTGAATTCTACCCGCCGTCTTACTTCCCCTTGTGATACAAGTGTTTCCCCTCCACTGACTTGAAGTACAGCGAATTCTTCTTCAGTAAGCATTTCATCTCCATCTCGATCTAAGACAATTTAAATGAAATTCAGCTTTTTTAGATCTTTTCACATGAAAGTATTGAAGAGTTTACATATATTATATCATGCAACAAATGTAATTATATAGTTTGTAATATACACCTTTACTGGAAGTGGGTAAAAATGATTTAATAAATTAATGTTGAACAGTTAAAAGGCAAGCTAATCTAGTTCTACTAGTGCAGGGAAAAGAAAATGGCTACTCTGTAATTTCCCAAGAAGGAAAATCCCAAAGAGGAGAGGGACAATGGTCTTTGTTTTGGCAAGCAGTTGGTTTTTGGCTGGGGTGAAGAGAGGATGGGAGAAGTGATCCTGACTCCAGTGGATAAAACCCAGTAATAGTTTTACCATCTTAGAAGATCTTGTTTGGCAGGGAGAATAGTTGTTTGGAATTGCAAGAGAGAGGATTTCCCAGAGAGCTTGAGTTGAGTGGAAGAATAGTGTTACCATTTTGGGATATGTGTTTGGCAGAACATAAAATGTGCTTTGGCAGAAAATGTGTGAAGACAAATGAGTTCAGTGCCACAAAGGAAGAAACATTTTATGTAAAAAAAAGGTTAGCTAGCCAATTCATACTTGACTTTATTTTTAAACCAGTGTTTCATTTTAATATAAATAGTGTAAATAATAATAGCTTGTCTGAGTTTATCTGATTGTCAGTAACCCACAATCAAGATAAATAAGTATATTAATACTCTTATATATTTTTTTTTTTTATTTAACAACCTCTTATTTCTTTTGGAAGTATCCTAAGGGTGTAAAATGATCTTCTGAGGTTATATTATTATTATTATTTTAAAATATAAGAGGGATGTTACAAGTTATTCAAAGCATTCAGAACAGAATATTTTTTGGAAAGATATGATTAAATGAGAAGGTGGAAAGGGAATAAAATTAAGCTTAACTCAGCTTGACACTGGTAGAGGGTAGCAATCTCAAAAAAGTCTTATATAATAAAAAAAGTTAAGTAGGGAGAGGGATGGATGGTGAATGAAAAAGAGTGAAACATGTATCTTTAAAACAAACTAATGAACTGCAGTAATTTAATCTAGAAAAATCTCAGATGATGAATTTTTTTTTAAAATATTTTAGAATTAATTATTATATTTTCAATGTTACCTAGGACTCCATCTGGACAAACGTCTAACTTGGAATCCTCATACCAGACTGAAACGACAAGAAACAGCTCGACGTTTCAGACTACTTCAACACTTACTAGACAAATGCTCTAACCTTCCAATCAATTATAAAAGACTCATTTACATGACTATAATAAGGCCTATTTGGACTTACGGAGTTGAGCTATGGGGCTCCACCAAACCTTCAAATTCCTCTCGCATCCAATCCTTACAATCCAAAATCCTTCGTAAAATCCTCCATGCTCCTTACTTTGTTACAAATAAAATTATCCATAATGACCTTAATGTTCCTTATGTATCAGATTTGGCCCAATCCAAATATCTGTCCTTCCATAATAAACTTCATAAATATCCCAACCCTCTTGTCTCTAACCTTGCTTCCTATTCGATTCCTGATAACCCTCCGAGGCGTCTGAAAAGAAGATGGCCACGTGATCTTCTAATATAGACATGTTATTAGAGTGCTACCAATGGGTAGTTTCTCAACATGTGTTCCATGTGCGAATTTACGAGATGTATTTTTTGTATACAGTTGTAAATATCATATAAATAAATAAATAAAAAAAAAATAATATTTTCAATAACAATAATTATTATTCTTAATTAGTAATAGGTAAAATTACTATTGTATAAAGTGTATTATAATATTAATTTTTTTCATCCATGTTGCCTATATAAATAATAAAATTTCTAACCATGGCTCAGTCCCCACAGTGCTTATATATAACATAAATAGCTTAAAAAAAAAAAAAAAAATATATATATATATATATATATAAGAAACAATTTAGGTAATGAAAACATCCTGGAAAATTATTTAATGAAATCAAAATACCTAATTTATCCAAAAGGTCATCTACAAGTGCCAGGAGTGTTGCATGACTCGATTCAGGGTGTCGAAAAGCTAAGAACTCGTCCAATGTTAAAAAGTCAGGGTCACTCTTCGCAGCTTCAGACCAAGATGCTCTGTCTCGTGCAATAGTTTCTGCAATAAAATAACAACTATATTTTTATTTTACTAAATAAATGAATTAAATAATGTTATCAAATGTAAAATACAAAATATAAATTGACTTTTTTTAATTTGAATGTTTTACTTTGATATATGGTCTATGAGACAAAATAGACTAAACATTTTACACATATATTTTGGAAACAGCTCATAGATATAGTTCTGGAAACATAAAAGAAATTTCAACCTACTCATTGGACCTTTACCATTTGGCACACCACTTATTAACCTTATAAACATTTGAACACTGTTAAGCCCAAAAATTTTATATGCACAATTTATTTGTCATAATGCAATTATATTTACCAGGCAAAACACAAAATCCCTTGTACTATAGTTGTCTGACTTGTCCTTCTTTGGTCCAAATATTATATGCAATACTTTATTGTAAAAAATCCTAAGACCTAGCTCATCCATAATGCAAAAGGCCAGATTTTACATCCATAATTTTTTTTTGCTTTTACATATCTATATATGAAATATTTAGTAAAGAAACATATTGCAACAGTAAACATTTTTAATCTGATTTTTCAACAGAAATATATGTTTTGAGGTTCCTTGAATCCAAATAACCAAGTCTCACAAAATGATCTGTGTATATCTTAACAGTCCAGCTTAAAAAAAACGAAAAGTCGGACAAAAGTGAAATTGCATATTTAAGGTTTGTATACCTGTGATTTAACATAAACTTTTTTGTTAAAATCTGCTAACCAGAAGGGGCACTTTATATTAACTATTTAACACATATTTACAATTTTCTAGCAATCGGCTCTAATGATTTTGATTAAATTCGTTATATTTGTATAAGATTTTAAGCGGTTTTTCATATAATGTAGGTCTTTTTCTTTGATGTTCTCTAATAGCGCTTAAATACCTAATTTTCAAAATTTCTTCCTCTAAATTACTTTTAATTTTTTTTTTATATTTAAAATCTGTGCCCCAGAGGAAATGACATCATGTCCATTTTTCATTAAATAATTTAGTAATGAAGACAAAATTTTAATAGCTCAAAGTTATGGAAAATCGGCTCCAGAAACAAATACAAAAATGTGACATAGTGTCCTTTACCTTGCGAGTACAGATTTAGTAATAAAGAAACAAATTTTAATAGCTCAAAGTTATGGCTTCCCTGAATAAATACAAAAATGAACATTGTGTTGTTTGTTTACCTCTGGGGTACAGAAATAATTAAACATTTCATATAATATGAAAGAATTTGATAATTACTAAAAGATAAATAAGGGATTCTTAATAACGAACGAAGTATAATAGTAATCGAGGGACCAAAGAAACCTTAGCTGGCTTCCATTCCAGAATCAGCTTCCATATGTAATACCTGCTTATTATAATATGGGCTCCAATAATATAATAATATATTAATAATTGTATCGACTACAGCAATATAAAAATTAAAATTTGTACAAATACCAGTGCTTGAACAAATAAAAATATCCACAGTGAAATTTAAATAAATATAGCTGCCTTCTTTATCAATGGCACTCTCATCGGACTAAAAATATTTCATAGCACTTAATTATTTATTATAATCAAATAAATATAATACATTAGACATATAGTAGTTAATTGTTTTAAATAATTTTTACTTTCACATATCTTTCTATGAAAATAATTATTTCTGCAAAGAAAAGAATGTTAAGTAAAAGTTGTGTGAAACACGAACTGCACCAGATTTTTTTAGTTTTTGGATGATAATTTAGCAACCAAAAAATAACAATAATTTCCAGTATTTAAACTAGTATTAATTTCTTTTTCAATAACTTTTGTTTTCTAGTTGTCATAGAACACTGTATAATATTCTAATCAAGCGGAGGATTCCATAAAAAACAGTAAATCTAGTCAGAATGTGCTTGACGGAAACACTCAATAAAGTTAGAATCGGTAATAATTTGTCCGAAAAGTTTGAGGTTCGTTCTGGTTTAAAACAGGGGGATTCACTTTCACCTGTCCTGTTCAATTTGGCATTAGAACATGCCATTAGGGAGGTAATGCGTACCGAAAAAGGGTAGGATCTGGGTAGGATAACGCCTGTGCTGGGCTATGTGGATGTACTGTTAAGTGAAGAGGTGGAAACTATAAAACTAAATATGACAAAGTTAATGAAAGCCGGTAAAGAACTAGGGCTCGAAATAAACGCAGATAAAACAAAATGTACGGTTAGCTGCAAAAATGGCGATATTACTGGTGATATCGATATACATGGTAATATGTTTGAACAGGTAGAGAAGTTTAGGTATCTAGCGTCTACGATAACAATAAAAAACGAAATTGAAGAAGAGATTAAGGTTAGACTGAAGGCGGGAAATGGTTGTTATTTTTCTGTGACAAAACTACTTATCTCGCGCCTCTTGTCCTGAAACTTAAAAATTAGGGTATATAAAACCATTATCTTCTTACCCCTTTATTTTTCTTTATGGATGCGAAACGTGGCCGCTTACATTAAGGAATGAGCAACCTCTTAAGATTTTTAAAATAAAGTATTGCGTAGAATATTCGAACCGAAGAAGATGAATTAACCGAAGAATACAAGACTGTTACACAACGCCGAATTGCATGAGCTATATCCGAGTAATATAATTGAGGTTATTTCATCCCAGCGAATCAAATGGGCTTGTAAAATTATTAGGCTTGGTAAGGAGAAAATTTAAAAAAGGTTAATATTTACTGTACTGAATGGTAAACGTCCGAGGGATAGACCGAAGTGAAGGTGGGAAGATTGCATTAAAGCCGATCTGGACGGGCTGGGTTTGGACGGCAAACGGTGGAGGGAGGTGTTTAATAAGCGATTTGTGGTGTCGGCATCGAACCTTCGGGTTGGCTAAGCCTTTTATTATCTATTATTATTTATTTAGCTGTCATAGAACAGGGATTCTCAACCCTGATCCCCTTGAATGCATGTGCAACAACGGAGCTACATAAATGTGCCTGCAATTGTGTTAAAATAAAAACATAACTTCATAAAAGATAAATTTAAAGGGCATCGAGAAGAAGACTTCAGCCAAGTTTCATTGAAATTGGTACATTCATTAGCCGCCATCCTGAAAGGAAAAGGCGGACAGTAATGTGATGAAGGAGAATCATCCCCGGGTGATCTCTGATTTTAAATCCAAATTTGAAAAAAATCGGTCCAATAGTTTCGGAAAAAATGCGTGTATACAGTTTACTGTAGCGGACGGACAAAAAATTTTTTATTTATTTTTCAAAATCTGAAAAGTGAAACTTCAAATTTTGAGAGGGGATTAAGTTTTTGAATTTTTTGTTCGATTACAATGGTTCATTATTGAAAATAATAAACCAAAAGGTAACAATTATTAACTTTGACTAATTGATAATTTTTTGGATAAATATTTTTTAAAAATATTATATTAAAAAAATGACTAAACAAATATTTAATACTGATACTGTGCTTAAAAATAATCTAATTTGTATGTGACCTCCAGTGAGATAGCTTTTCCTTGAAGACACTTAATCTTGTTTTTTTGTTTATTAAATTTTTCTTAGAAAAATGTCAGTTTCCAATAATAAAATTTTAATATCAATATAAACAATGTTGGACAACTAGAAATATTTGATAATATGTAAAAATTTTAACAATACTATTTAAATTAATTAAAAAAATTTAATTGTTTCGAACCTTTTAGAGAACGACCAAGGCCAGGATGTTTTTCTGGATGGTTTCGTATATATTCTTCATCTACACCATGAGTTTGGAGGAAATATGTATGATACTCACTCCAACTAATAACTCCTAAAAAATAAAGTACCATGAGACAGATTTAAAAAGTATAAAACACCTTCACATCATAGGTAGTCAGTTTAATTTTCAATGAACTAGATTTAGATGGAGGGATTTTACTTTGGGGATGATCTAAAAAAATTATGATTCGACAAATTGTGAAAGAAAAGTACTTAAAATTAGAAAAATACTATTATTAATATCAACATAAAACTATAGGGTTCTCAAAGCCTTATTATTGTGATACCTTTATAACTAAAAATAAAGAGGACTGAAATGGGAGCTACAACTTCGGTCCTTCACAATTTTACGATATCTCTAAGAGTTTTCAAGATATTTCAATAGTGGCCTGCATATATGAGGCACCCAAATTTGGGCGTATGCAGATGATTTGGTTATCATGGCCAGAAGCGAAGTAGCACAAAAGAAGCCATTGAAATGATTGAAAAAACAAGTAGGAGGATTGGGCTCATCCTAAATCGAGAACAAACAAAACATATTGCTACATAAGCTGAAAATAATCAAAGAAACAACAGCATCTCCCTGCTCAATAATACATTTGAAAGCGTGTCCAGCTTCACTTACTTAATTTCTTTATTTTTTTATCTTGTACCAATTAATATTTATAATTTGTGTCTTTTTTTTAGCCCTGATGAAGACATACAACGAAGTTCAAAACATCCGCAAATGCAATATAATACTGTTATAATATGTAGTATTATATTCCGACCGTACCCCTGGCCAACTCAAATTATAATCACAGTCAACCATCTCCACACCATCATGATAAAAGTTAACTATTGTTATGAAAAAGTTATATAAAAGCAGGCAGACTGTGATGGGTAGGTCATATTGCAATAATGAATGAAAAGAGACTGCAGAAGAAGATACTGTATATGACATTGTTGAAAAAGAGGCAGACCAAGAAGCGGTTGGAAGGTCAAGGTAGCAAGAGATGGTGCAAAGCTGGGTGTCATGAATTGGAAGAATACTGCCAAGGACTGTGTCATGTGGAAGGATATAGTCCGGAAGCCCAAGGGTCACAAAGATCTGTAGATCCAGGGAATAAGTAAGCAAGTATATATGGGACACCCTGTACCAATAATATTAGAAGAAAATTTCACATTGCTTTTATGATAACAACTATTATTAGGTGATGACATTTTCAAAGGTATTAAAAAAATAATTCAAACTTGTCCAAAAAAGAATATAACACCATTATTTTTTTTTTTAAGTCAGGGCAAAAAATAAATAAAAGAAAAAATTAATGAATACTGTACAAACAGAGAATCACCTTCATCACTGAATTATTTGTTTAAGCTGAAATATATTCAGAGAAAATTTCAAATCAACCACCAAGCACTGTTTGTTCAGATGTCATTCATGAATTTCAAATAGTGATGCTTACATAGGTGTTTTGATTTGGCTTGATTCTCTACAAAGATACTGACTGAAATCGGATTCATAAATTGTAATAGTTACAAGATAAATCTGAAGTAGAATTATGGCTTTATCTTGTCAGTGACTTTTAAAAAAATTATTAAGCATTCCTTTTAAATTGCTTATTATACTTCTTTAATTTTTTTTAATTAACTTTAAAATCCACCAATTAAAAATATATATATAGAAAATAGTTAAACTAAACAAAACAATTGCAGTGATTTTCAATATTAGATTTCATAACATAAAAAATTCGTGTTATGTTGGAAAAATACATATCCATTACAAAGGATTATTTTTGCACAGACCAGACAGAGCTGTGAGAAGCATCAAAAACAGTGTTATTACAAGTTCAATAAGGTCAACATAATGAATATTGCATTGACTGACATAAGTACATACATGCTAAAACCATATTGAAATATTTTTACGTCAAAACACATTTTAGAAAATGGAATGAAACAGCACTTTTTGGAAATACTAACAAAATTCACTTAACTAGCTACTTTATGATTATTATATCCTTATTCCTGAATCTTCACTCTAAAACTTAGTTTAAAGAAAAATGCCATGTAATATGGCCTGCATGAACCTTATCAGTTGTATTTAATGGTACATATTTTAATTTAGTTTAATACACTAGATGTAGAACAACTTGCTTTTATTGAGCAGGCTCGTTTAATAATCTTATTCATAACAACTTTATGCCTATTAATTAGTGAAAATATGTTAAGATGGTAGACAATACTGACAATATTTTAATAAATACAAGGTCATAAATTTTATTTTATTTTCCTTCAACTGCTGCACGTACAGCATGCATCTACGATATTATCCTAAAAGATTTAGTATACTGATATTTTAAGTAATCAGCCGAATGAGATAAAAAAAATTGTTACCATTTCTTGGATTTTTATCTATACTCATAAATAGTCCAAAATTTTCTTTCATCGCTTCTTCAATATGAAGTGTAGTACGTTTATGAATATATTCAGATATTTCAATTGGTGTTAGCAATTCATTTCCATCTACATCGACTCTGCAAAATAATGCTATGTATTAAAAAAAAATACTTACAAAAACTTTTAATATTCTAATTATGTTATACTTTCAATATTCTAATATTTTTAAATATTACAGGATGTGGTTATTTGAAAACTTAACATATCACACAAAATGAGTCTTGCAAAGGATATCATACTGATTACTATTATTTTGTATTGATAAAAAAGTAAATAAGAAATAATTCAAAAGCAAAATAATATATATTTTATTCATTATAGATTTTAGAACTTACTTCTTAAAAACAGTAGTAAGAAGTTGAACAGGTGGTAATCTTTTACTAATTTCCTGAAACTCTATAACATTGTCTTTTTTAATATCGTGTTTTTTCTTCCTAATTTTTTCTAAGATGGACATGAAATTTTTTGACTTTGTTTCAGACTTAAGAGGGACTGAATATTTATAGACTAGGCCAAGCAGTATTACATAGAAAATAAATGGAATGACTATTGAAAAGTGTCTAGCATTGAATTTCCTGAAAAACATTTTGATCCAGCATGAAATACATTTTACAGTGTAAAAATAATGAAGAGACTCTTTAGAGCATTGAAATAAGAGAGCCGTGTGAATTTAGATTGTTTAATTTAAGCGAGATAGGACTAGGAAGTCCTGTACCTCCCTTCATAGTAAACATCACGTCACTTTCTAGCAGTTAACTTTCTACATTACAAAACAGGTTATAAACTTGTAAGGTAGGTTATTGCAAGTTTCACTTCTTTGTATGCGCGCTGTCTGCTGGCCGTCTATGATACTATTAAGTTTCCTAATTGCCCGACAGGTAGCGAATGCCATTTATTAATTTTTTTTAAAGAACGTTTCATAGAATTATTGATTATATTTTTAGATTCAATTTGAATATCTAATTAGGGTATTGTTCAGTATTGACTGCATAAAAGAAAAAAGGTTATACTTAAGTAAAGATCAATTTTTTAAGTTTATAAGTATACAATAATCATATCCAATAATTCCCCTGATTTAACTTCTACCACAACTTTCAAAATTCAATAGCATACTATTTAAAGTCATCATGAAGTTACAAAGGTTGACCAAGTGAAAAATTGACTTTGATAAACTGAGAATCAAACAATAATATTGTTACATTAAGAAACTTATTTATGATTTATTATTAATTAATTATGGTATAATTGTGGCCAGAGGTTGGTTAGCAATAATAAGTGAAAAATGAATAATTTTATTTCTTGTGCCCTTTTTAACACCTAAAACTCTTTTATTGAATACATTTTTTTTTAATATTACACTCACAATGAAATAACATAGTCAAACAAATGAATAATAAGAATCAGATACACTAACATAAAAATGAGCTGCAGTTTAGTTTTATAAGGAATTCCAATTTGTAACCTCAACTTTTTTGAGCATAAAATGATTTAACTTAATAAATACAACACTAATGATTAACCAATGTCTGGGGTGTTTCATAATAATGATCATACATTTACATTTGAATTTAATAAGAATACATTTACTCAGCAACAAGTTTATAAGTATGAAGAATACATCATAATGTAAGTTCTGAAGCATTAAATATAAACCTCTGAAACTGTTTAAAAATTAAACAAATATGAAGTTTAATTTGTTTCAAAAGTTGACCCCATTTAAATTTAAATTGATATTAAAATTATCTACAATTTTCAGAAATATGTAATACAAATAAAGATTCTTAAAAAATATTTTTATATCACAATTGGATTGACAAATACAGTTTTCGTGTTTTCTGAAAATTTATTGATGATGATCAGGATTTACTTCTGGAATAAATGACTCAAACACGAAAATCTTCCTAGTTCCAATGATTATTTATGATTGCAAATTTTAATTATTAGATGTTTGGTCATAATGATCTCAGAAGTAAACTTAAATCTTATAATTGAATGAAATATATAAAATAATTTGTGAAATGCAGCCTAGCATGCCATCATGACAGAAAATATGATATAGTATTAATGCATAAAAATTAATTAATATATTCATACTCCATTAAGATAGGTTCATAACTTTACAAACCATTTTTGTATCAAATTAGCTTTAACAGTTACTAACAGAATAATAATAAATAAATTCCTACCAAATATTGTTGAATATTGCTTAACGAATATTGTTTTATCTAAATTAAAAATCAGTTTTACAAATTGTATATATCTAATTATATTTGCCAAAGATTATTCTTATGATCATAAAACAATAATCTTTAAATTTAAGATAATATATAGGAAACCACATAAGTGCAATAGAAAATGGCATTACTTAATCTAGTATTTAAAAGTTTTATTTTTCCACCAAAAATATTTCTGATTTGCAAAATAGGCCTTGCTCATTTGCCATATCATGGCATAGATTTTTCTCCAAATTTAACAGTCATAATATTACATATATTTAGGAAATTGATTATTTTCAAGAATGAGAAATACTATTGCTTACACATATTATAAGTAAATTAAAAATTGAGATATAGAAGAAAAATTTTACCTTTCTGTTTTTGTTTAGCTAAAAATATTTCTTTCTTCTGGAAATATATATCACTCAATGAATATTTAGAATTGATTACATTTGATCATGATGAATAATTTAAACAAGTATTTTTTCACATTTTATGTGATAATATATTTTATATTCTTTGCTGTCCATCAAAATATTATACTGTAATTCCCAAATATCTGCCTCATTAAAAACATATTAATAATAATAATTATAATAAGTGAAAGTAAAAATTAAAAACATACAAACATTCATTCATTACCAAGTTAATTAATTTTCTATTATACTTTATTATATATTTTTTAAGATATTTTAAATATGAGAAAAATAAAATTGGAACTCTCTTGGTATTTGAATTCCTAAAGATTTTAACTAAGCTGTACTGGTTCTTATAAATGATTCCTAGTGAGTGCAGTGCAAATCATTTTATGCAATATAGCTAGTATAACAAAAATTGACTGAAGTGAATAATGAAGAGAAGGATAGTTGGTGTGATCAGTCAAAAATAAATATTATTTTTTATTTTTGACAGACCACACCAACTATCCTTCTCTTCATTATTCACTACAGTGAACCATTAATCCACAATTATTAATTACATGAGAAGGAGTTAGTCGAGGGTGCGGTCAAATAAATAAAAAATTAAAATATATTAATTATTTTAATTTTTGCCGACGTTTCGACCCACTTTGCAGGTCGTCTTCAGGGCGTAGGATGTAATTTAATTAATATATTTTAATTTTTTATTTATTTGATCGCACCCTCGACTAACTCCTTCTCATATTATATCAACGGTCAACCATCTCTACATAATTATTAATTATATTGAGTGGATAAGTCTTTTACATAGTTACTTTTAGTAAAAGTTATATATACGAGACAGTATAATATATGGTTTTATAGTTTAAAAAAAAATAAAGCCTAACATTACCTCCGGCTGTAATTATTAGCAATAATAATGATAAAATCAACTACATATAAAAATCTATAGCTAATTAAAGAATTTTATACTTAGATGGGCATAACCCTAAGCAATGATTAGGATTACAGTAATCATGATTATGTGATTATTACTACAATTTTGGTTACGTGATTACATGATCGGTAACCTGATTATTATTGTAATTTTATGCTAGATATTTATAGTGTTATTGAATCGAGCATAAAATTTGCGTGGTCATTAAGTATTATTTTCAGTTGTAATTATGTAATCATTGATTCTGGTTTTGTCCATCTCTGATTTTATAAAGATTGTTCAGCTGTAATTCATATCCTAATCTTCAAAAAGATAAACTATTTTGTTTTATAAAAAGTATTTTTTAGTTTAATCATTCTATTTTATCATATACTTGTATTACAAAACAGGCAATGAATAAATTATACACAGTACACATAAGTGCCAGGCATATACATGAGGCACATATCTGCAGGCTCTTTTTGAAACTGCTACCTGAACTGCCTACCACATTATATGAAAATGTAATGTTTTGGCTAGGTTGCGGTATCTATATTTTGGAAACGACTGTATCACTGATCTTAAGCCCTACTAATTTATTATCCTACGGAGAATAGGACCTGATTTAACAGAGAATAGGACAACATAAAATAGGCCTCAATGTGGCAGCATTGCATCTTAGTTAAAAAAATAAATAAATAAATAAAAGATCCTCCTATGTAAATATGTTTCATAATTAAGTAAATACATACTGCTTTTCATAATCTCCACTTATATTACTTGAAGTACAAAAAAATTTTATATGATCAAAATTAAAAAAAAATATTTTATCAAAATTCAGTATCATCTTTTATTTCAATATGTTTTCTATTTTCCTGTTCAGTATATATAATCCTATCACTCTCTTTTGGGTTCGAATCTTGGATAGTCGTGATTTCTTTTTAATTTAAGTTATAGTAACCTGGTCTGGTGTAGATGTTTTATATAACTACCAATCTATCAAGCCAATGTATATTTCATTAAATTTTTTTTGAAAAGCCTTTGATTATACCTTTCCATCAAATAATCATGACACCCTTTCATTTATGAATTATTGTAAACTATAGGATTGTGATTTTTTTTTTAAATTGTTGTACACAAATATTTTTCAATTTCAATTCTAGTTTTCATATATAAAAAAAAAAAAATTATCTTCTATATCTGTAGAATAACTATTCACATATTGTAAAGTTTGTGAATACATTTAAAGTCACAGAGAATAAACCATTGAAACAAAAACTATAAAAAATAAGTGACAGGGTTCTCCACTTATTCAAGAAATTTTATTTACATTTTAATTATATTATTTATATAATTAATTATAAATTATGTATATAATTCCTAGAAGGCGAGGATGACACAGGAAAAGATGGATACATGAGGTGGAAGAAGAGATGGCTGGACAGGGTCTTCTGGATGGGGATTGTCTTGACAGCGACCTCTGATGTGAAGGCAACCCTCATTGGAACTCCAATATAATAATAAATTATTATATAATTTTCAAAAGCACACTTTCATTATAAATTACTTTTTGTAAACAGAAGGATTTACACCAAGTTAAAAAGTACTGCACTAGAAAGTTACAATCGGACAGCGTTTAGCAGAACAGAACCAGAATATAGAAATGAGATGGTTTTGAATAGGAAACTACTTTTTTAAATAGAAAATAACCATTTTTGATTCAGGTATCTATATTACAAAAATTTAAATTAGAAAAATATTTGTAAATATAATGCTACATTTATATTTATAAAAACATAATCTACAATAAAATTAATTTTTGACCAATCTATTAATATAATATCGATATTTTGGAGTAAACAAATAATAGAATAAAATTATGTTTTGGACAAAAAAGAGAATTTACTTATTAGAACGTTTCTCTAATTTCCATAAACTATGATTTGAGATTATTTAAGACATGTGTTATGTGGATTGCTTCTCATGTTTTATAGTGCCGTTCAAATGTAAGCTTACTGTCTTATTCCCCATGACTACAGAAATATGATTCCATGAATTTGTGTTTAATATCTCAAATCAAACTATGATTATTAGTTTTCCTAATTTACCTAATTTTATATTCAAGATTTAAACAATCTCACAGTTTATGTCATAAGTACAAAAATAATCTAATACTTTTCAAGAAATTTTACAACATTTTTACTTTCACTCAC